CCCTGCTATTCGATACAGCACTTATTCGACTACTGCTGATGGTGGTAGGTAGCATCGTGCTCGGATCTCTTTCTCGGGTCCTTCCTCGGTGTCGTTTCCGGAGCTTCCCCACCATCGGTCAGCACAGTGGGAGCCCACATCCGAGGCTTGAGCTTCGTGACTCTGGCGGTCAAGGAGGGTCAAATGGGGTCCGAATTTAGAATATCGGGACAATACATGTCTTGAAATCTGCGTTTCATGAATGAAGCGTTCGCTTGTTGACATCCTCGCGAGTCGCGGTATCATAGAGAATAATAGGTAGCTGTCTAATATGATATATTTACGGGTCGCCGCATACGATCCGATGTATTCTCCATAATTTTCCTCGAATCCCCGACGAGTTTGAGACAAATCGAATGGAAACATATTCTAATCGCCGAGGAGGGTCGATTCTGGTCCGATCCGCAAGAGCTAATATTCGCTCGTAAGGGTGAATTTTCTCGCAAGAGGAAACTTGCCTCCAGTTCTCCAATCTCTTTCATGACGCTCGCTCGAGGCTCACTAACGGACGTCGTTCGGCTCTGTTCGCCGCCGCGCGGTTTGAGGGTGTTGGTCGAGCGGGTGGTCGGATACTTTGGTCGAAGGAGTAGGTTCTCATTCGCCGCTTTCGGCGCCTGCTCATCCACTCGTCCCGAGCCATGACAAGAAGCTACTTGATCTTCGATGGCACGTCAGGGTCTCGTGTTACAACGCCGTGTAATGGTGCTTCTCGTGAGAACAGCCGAGGACACTTTCCCGCTCGTTGGTTCACACACCGAACACCAACACCATAGCCATCCACATAATGGAACGAGCTACGACGACGTCGACGACGATATCGGCCTTGATCGAGTAGCAGACGCCATTTTTCATTTTCTGCGACGAGCGAGAGCATCAGAATCGGGTGTGCCCCGTCAAAGCCTGCGGTGTGAATTATCATGCAGTATCCACATCGGGGCAGATATCGCGAGACGAATTTTACATTGATCCTGAGCGAGCAGATGCGTTGTCTCCGAATAGATTTCTGGGAGCGTGTTGCCCTGCTGATGACGATTTGAAATTGTCGGGTTAGAGGTTGTATGGTGAGTCTTAGGAGACCGGCTGTCGCACCGCAAGTGCACTTGAAGTCCGTGTGCGAAGGACAATGGTCCAGCGCTCAACAGCGTCGGTCGATGCCTGATCTCTAATTGATGACGTCGTATCTAACAGCCTCCTCGATAGGGGAAAAACATTGATTTAGAGCCTTGTGATGGCGATTGTTGAAGAGCGTCTAATATACGTACGCCGAGGCTGAAATCCCTTGGGCCCCGGCCGTGGAACAAGCAGTGGATCCTCTTTCCAATAGTGTGGAATCTCCATCTACATCCGTCTGTCCTTCACGGATCGTGATATACGTCCGGAGATACTCGAAGCTATTTTCCCCGTCAAGTGGGATCCTTGAACTGGATTCCCTACGGGAGCCTCACCGAAACTCGAAGCAAGTTGAACTTCAACATGGAGGACATCCCGAATACCCTCATAGACGTCACGCTCTCGAAAGCGGAGCGTATGTTTGAATAGGACGGCACGTTTTAGAATGTCATCCTTCCTCCTATGGAGGGATTCTCGGCGTTCCCAGGGGGAGCCTCCCACGTATGAGCGGGGATGGAAGGGCGGAAATTACACGCGAGAGATGAATGAACCATCGGAAGAGATGGGATATTCCGAGCGGTCGTCCTCGTGAGCCAAGAGAAAAACGGATTTCCAAAGACGGATCCCATACCTCGAATGCCGTAGGAAGTGCGATCTTGTTCCTGCTGTCCGCTTTTTTGGCGTAGAACTACGCCATTGCGCTCACGCTTGTAAACGAATGCAATGGAAATGACGTCAGCAAAAGAGTGACCCGCGAACATTTAAACATTAGAATCAGAGAGTGACACGTGACACCCTACGGAAACTACGGGAACTACCTTAGTCAAGGAACCAGCCACCAGGAATCTGCACACGATCACGTGGCCCCCGTCGATCACACCAACCTTCACCGACCTTCACCGAACATCTATGACCCTTATGTCTACCGATGGGATCTGGACCTTCAGTAGCTGCAGACGCCGAAATCCTTCGCCCATGCTTAGATTTCGGGGGAAAGAAAACGATCGGATCGGTTGCGAGATCGGGGGAGCATCGTGCGACAATATTGACGTTACGCGGTCTTCGAGAAAACTGGACACCTGTCTACGAAAGGACAGGTACCTCCCAGATACCGGCAAACAAAGCCATCAGATGCCGCCGACTCAACTTTCCCCTGACTCCCATGACCACTCACAAGGCCCAAGGTGCTGCTACCTTTGATAGCGTGGTCTTCGAATACTCATGATCTGTCGTGCTAGCGTAAGAGCAATAAATAAATGAGATGAATCTCATTCATTATCGAGGTAAAACAAAGAAGTCTCCTAATTTGCGGTACGGTGACGGTCACAACAACTGGCGACGAGGATATCGGAAAGTGGTAAAGCATGATCTCACAAGA